CTTTTATTTCTTTCTCTTTTTTTTTTGGTACTGGGGATTGAACTCGGGTCCTTGCACTTGCAAGGCAGGCCACTGAACCGCTGAGTTAAATCCCCAGCCCTATCTTTTATTTCTTTAGGACTGAAAATTACACTTTCACAGAGGCCAAGTGTGTGGAAATAATCTTCAGTGCTAAGGAAGGAGGAGGGTGAATTTAAACTGACAATTTAAAAAAAAAAATCATGTTTCCCAAACCCTTAGCTAGCTGGGTAAATTGTTTTTTAGCATTGAATTACGTACAGTTAAATCATGGTGTATGCATGTGGTCAGTGCTGTTTTTCTTTTAAGTGAGCCTGTTTATTTAAAAAAAACTTGAAAATGAGAAGTTGTTTTGCTCACTCAGTTGGAGTTTATTGTAAAATTTGGATGCCAGAAAAAGAAAGAAGTACTGTTCTTGTGCTGGGTGTGTATGAACCAGGCTGGGGTGAAGGGGAGAAAGTACAGCCATAGTGCTTTTTCTTCTCTGCCCAAAGAAGGAAAGCTCTGATGGTCAACAGAAGGTGACTGTAGTGATTGGGGGCTATGTCCATCAGATGACGCACCAGCAGATGCCTCCAAATACAGTCATGCCAAGCATACGTTTTCACCCTTACTCCTTCGTAATAATAAAAGTAATTCCAGAAACAAACAGCTACAAAGCAAAGTGGAAAGTGTTTTGGTAAATGACATTTGTTATTCAGAGGGTAAGTTTGATGCTTGTGGAATATAAGTGGCTGTTTTGCTCTGTTCTGGGCCTTGAAGTGTCATGAATGAAGGTCTCAGACTTGACCCAGTAGGTACTGACTGATTAGGCAACATCAGTAGTGGCGTGAGTCCCAGGATCTCATGTAGCACAGCCAACTAATAACTGCAGTCAGTCATCTGTCCCCCATGCAGGTCTGTGAGGGAGCTGAGCTATCCAGATCTACAGATGAGGAAATCAGGAGCTGTAGAGAGGCCATGTGACTTGCCTGCCCTCAACTTTTCATCTGTGACAAGGGGCCACAATTCTTTTATGAAAAAAGTGAGATCTCTCTCTCTCTCTCTCTCTCTCTCTCTCTCTCTCTCACACACACACACACACACACGCACACACACACACTTCTTAGAAAACTATGCTGGTTTGCCAAGTTAGTTTACATTTGGTGATTTCAATCCTTCTAATGGCAACTCATTTATCCTCTCAGGAATCTTTCTGTAATCCTCCAGAATGAGCTAAGAACTCTCTTCATATCCCATCTCCTGCATAGCTCTTGTTATATGTTGCAGAAATTAACTGGTTATATTTCTGTTTACAAATGCTTGCATACATTGACCTTTAAAAGGTGCCTCCATTTGTTTCTTTCTTCTTCATACTTTATAAGGTTGATGTAACTACAGGCAATATTAACTGACCTCCCTCCTTTTTTTGCAGTGGTACTTTTTTAATGGTCCCTATGAGAGTGCTCTGTTTTAGTGAGGAAGACCTGCATGGGCTGTGATGTCATCAGGAGGTCCTGCGGGTATAGGGCGTTTAAAGTCTCCTGCAGTGGAAAACTGTTGGGAGCCAGGTTGACACTACCGAGCAAATGTGGGCAGAGAGGACCTGCGCTGTTTTCTTTAGGGCAGTAGGTAGCTGGAGATAACAAGAGGCCTCTTTGTTCTTGTAGGAGTGAGAATGGAATAACCTTTATTAATCCCAAACTGCTTTTCATGGACAAATAGAAACTATTAATGTAGGAACAAGAACCTTAGTATTAGTGAAACTGCAAATAACATAGACAAGAACTTTAGTGTTCATGAGATTCCAGGTTTAATTCATTTTTGGCGTTTACTTTTTCCATTCAGAGATGCATCAACCATACAACCAAGTATAGAGGATAATATTTTGAATATCCATGTACCCACCAGTCAGCCTTCTTATTGTCTATTCTTTTCCTTCCCACCTAGAGGCCGCTGAGTGTGGTGTTTATCACTCTGGGATTCTAAATATATCTCTTGAGGACCTCTCTTAATGTAATGGCCTGTGCTTAATGGAATAGGAACTGTGTCTTGAGGCAATAAAAGCTGTAGTTTTGGAGCCACCGTGAGACTGCAGCAATTATATGAAATGCAACAATGAGATCAGACTACAGAGGAACAAAATTTTTCAGACCCTAGATTGAGGACTAGTTGGGATTTCTCTGAGGGACAAGGAAGGATAAGCATCCCTTATCAAGGTAAAACTCAGGTGGTATAAGGTGATATATGGTTTGGGAGAAATGCTTTTCAAACTTTTTGACTAAGTTTTTGACAAACTTTTTTTTTTTTGCAAGTGGACACACACTCTTGCACACTTCTGAACAAAAAGTTTTAATGAGCTCATCATACACATTTATTTTTGTTAGCTGTCCTGAATATAGCTTGTTTTGTTTTGTTGGTTTTACAAAAGCTATTTTGTTCTAATAAATTGGTTTTATGTGCCATTAGTAGATAGGAACCCACATTTTAAAACAAAAATTAAAAAAAGCCAAGCCAACCCTAGTTTGGGGAATTGTAATTTGTTCCATGGGACAAGTTTTTAAAAAAGATATATTTAGTTGAGCTCTGCTGAACATTTTCACAAAAGTCTTTTCTCTGTCACTGACCTAAACCATAAATATTTATGCCACAACTTACTAATTACAGATCCCATGTAAAATTAAGCATGATCCAAAGCTCTTTTGGGGTTCAGATTCTTTTATGTAATGCTGCTTCTCCTGCTTCACTTTGAGCCCGTCACCTCTCCAGCCATTGCTGTGAGGCAGCTTGTTAACTGGAATAAACAGAATTTGAACACAGTGACTTAACTATACTTTATAAGTTCACAATTGTTAAATCCCCAAATCAGCCTTTCCAAACAAAGGTGAGCGTAAGTCAAACTGCCAAGTGAAAAAGAACAACTTCGGAGTCCTTAATTCTTTTCATCACAGTTTACCTCTGTACAATCTTAAATAAGGTCCCGATGAGGAATAAAGTGATGTAAGCCTTGTGTTCTACTCATTTAATGTGAATTTTTGTGTAACCAGGCTGACATCCTGCTCACAGGAAATTCCTGATAATGATTATCATGACAAGAGATACATATTACTTTGTTTCTAAAGAAATTTAAGGCTGGGAATGCAGCTCCAGTGGTAGAAAACAACGCCTAGCATGCACAGGTCCTGGGTTCAATACCTAGCACTGGCGAGTGCTGGGGTGAGATGGTGGGGGGGTTTACATAATGTGACTCAAAAAGGTGTCTCCCTTCAGGGAGGCAAAGGAGAATTAACGTTTAATGTATATTAAACAAGCAGTTGTTGGAGATTATGAGCTACACTGATTTCAGAAGGCTGAAATGAGTCAGCTTGTTCCAAAAGGTGACCAGCAACAGTTACTTACTTACTTAACGTATTTATTTGTTTGTTTGTTTGTTTTGGTACCTGGGATCAAACTCAGGACCTTTGCACTTGCAGGGCAGGCAGTGGCACCAATGATCTAAATTCCCGGCCCAACAGCTATTTTACACATTAATGAGGTAACTGCTTCCTAAAATAATGGAAGAAGGGGAAGGTTTTGTTAAAACCAATCTTTCACAGTAGAGGAAATGTGGTTCTACCTCAGGAAATTTAAATGCGTTGGTTGAACAACTGGGAAGGAATATCTCCTTTGGATGAGGGAGTGAAGAATTCAGCTGATTTTCAGGTACAAGAACAAATACGAAAATAGCCCTTATTGGTGTATGCATTTATGAATGTGAATGTGTGTGACTTGTAGAGGAGCAGCTCTCAAACTTTTTGGTCTTTTGACCCCTTTGCACTTAAAAATTGTGGAGAACCGCAAAATACTTTGGCTTATGTGGGTGATGTCTGTTCATTTGTTCATTTTAAGGATTAAAACTATAAGAAAATTTAAAATATATTTAGTGATTCAGTAAAAATAATGAATCCATTATATAAGAACACTTGATATATGCCTATATAATGGAATAATGAATACATTATATATAAACACTTTAACATTAAAAACTATGTTTTAAAAAGTAGGAGAGCTAGGTGTGGTGGAGCATGCCTGTAATTGCCACAAGTTCAAGGCCAGCCTGGTCTACATAGTGAGACCCTATCTCAGAAAATTTAAAAAAAGGGAGAATATAATTATTTTATATCTTTAATCCTTGGTTTAATAGATGACACCAGGTCTCATATCCACTTCAGCGTACAGCCTGTGTGATCTGTTATTTTGGTTGCTGTATGTAAAGAGAATTTCGTTCACACAGAAACATAATTGGAAAAGAGAAGATCTCACAGCCCTACAAAGGGGTCTCAGGGACCCAGGAATCTGCACCACACTTTGAGAACCACTGTCCTATAAAGTATTGGGAAGAATATATGTAGAAGAGTGGCTCTCTCTAAGTGATGAGAGACCTACCATGAGGCTGGATTCCTTGTGCAGCCTAAAAAATAAAGCATGAACATTCTGAGGGATGATTATGGAGGCCCAGGAAACCTAGGCAGAGACTTTACACTTGGGAAACCAAGGAACCACATAATTTTTTGCGGGGTGGGGGGGTGGGGGATCGATCTCAGGACCTGTGCTTGTGAGTCAGGCTCAGTGCCACTGAGCTAAATCCCCAGCCCAACAATTTCTTAAATAGGAAAATGACTTGGTAAAAGTGTTGGGAAGTACAGTAATGGGATCAGAGTGGAAAGAGAGAAAAGCCACTTGAGAGGTGACTGCAGTGAACTGGGTGAGTGGCGAGTTGGGCTAGGCCTCAGGTCTTGGTGAAAATGCAAAGAGCCAAACTCTGAAAGAGATTTTGAAGGTGGTGACCATGGCCAGAACGTGGTGGTGGTGGTGGTGGTGGTGGTGGTGTGACTGGCCAGGATCACAGATGACTGAGAGTTTTTAAGTTAAAACATTTGAATAATGTTTTTTCCCCTCCTCTCCTTAAACTTTTCTGAAAATTCCCTGGGTTTAGCTCACTGGAGCTTTGCCTTATCTTGCAGAGTTGGCCAGCCCATTCAGGGGCTTAGGACGAAGCCACTACACTTTGCACCATGAATCCATCACCGATGCTCCCCGGAGAAGAGTCAGCTTTGCACCTATGATGTCCCTGGGGAGTTCCTTGCTGCTGTCCTCCTTGGGGCCCAGCAGGCCTTAAAGAGCCGTGAGTCTGGTTTTCTGTGTGGAGGCTCCTGTGGTCCACCTCATATGCACCCCAGTACCCCCATCAGCTCCCTCTTCTCCTTCACCAGCCCTGCAGTGAAGAGACTGCTTGGCTGGAAGCAAGGAGATGAGGAGGAGAAGTGGGCCGAGAAGGCAGTCGACTCTTTAGTGAAGAAACTAAAGAAGAAGAAAGGGGCCATGGACGAGCTGGAGAGGGCCCTCAGCTGTCCGGGGCAGCCCAGCAAGTGCGTCACCATCCCTAGGTCCCTGGATGGACGTCTGCAGGTGTCCCACCGCAAGGGTCTGCCCCATGTTATTTACTGCCGAGTGTGGCGATGGCCAGACCTGCAGTCGCACCATGAGCTGAAACCCCTGGAGTGCTGTGAGTTCCCATTTGGCTCCAAGCAGAAAGAGGTGTGCATCAACCCTTACCACTACCGCCGAGTGGAGACCCCAGGTGGGTTTGCTCACGGTGTCCGGGTCTGTCACAGAGTTAAGGTGATGTCTGTATGGAGAATGGTGGGGATTCGAAAGGCAAGGATCTCTACTGGTAGAGAAAGTGAGGTTCAGTTCTGAGGAGCAAAGCCAACATTTTTAATCCAGAAAAATCTAGGCGGAAGATATTTTAATTTCAGGACACATGTAAGCTTTGTGCACTTTTGAAAAGAGCAGTTTTATTTAACTTAATTTAGAAAGGATCATCATAATCTTTTCCTTTTCCTGGTTCTTAAGGTTTTGAAAGATCTTAAAATGGCCCTGATAATGATTAGCTGTAAAAACAAACATGTCCCCACCAACTACACTGAGTTATACTGAGCTAAACTGCGAAAAGGTTTTTGGCTTCACTTTGTCTAAGCTCAGATAAGTTGAAGGCATTTTATATCTGGGTCTGAAAACAGCCAGTGAGAGGATTGATGAAAGTTATTCCAGGGCTAAAAACAGCAGGTTGAGGAAAGATTGGCACTTGTTCTTAAATATGGTATATGGGGTTTTTATTTGTTCATTTTTTTTTTCTGATGCTCAGGATCAAACCAAGGGCCTCCCACATGTTAAGTACTCTGGTAAATAAATAAATGCAGTGCTTAAATGCATCTTAAAATAAGTAAACTACTATTCTAGAGCTCTTCCCACACAGATATACATGTGTGTATCCATATACTGCTTTCTGGAGATGTCTGCTGTTTGCCTTCTCTCTTCACACTGATTGCAGCAGTTTTACAGCAGTTCTTTTTGGATGGAGAGTTCCCATGGCATTCCAGGCAGGAATATAGTTTTTCTAATGGGGATCTTCTTTCTTTCATTGGCTATCTCCCTCATTCCAGGAAACCAAAGGGCTAACACATCTGCTCAGGAAAATTGCCCGTGTCCATTTAGGAGACAGCGCTGTCTAGGTAGTAGCTCAAGGCTTAATAAAGGGTTGGAGAATTAGTCCTGCCCGCCCACATCCGTAGTGTGCAGGCAACTCTTCAGGCTCTCAAAGCTTGCTGTCAGGTTACCCAGTGTTGTCACGGAAGCCACCAGCCTAGGCATGGGTGCTTCTCACACCATGCCTTCAGCACTAAGACTCGTCTGAGGAGGCCGTTACAAGGTCCCACATTCTTGGCAGATCTGATGAGTTTCCCTGAAATCAAGGAAGTCTTTGTCTTTTCTCTCTTTTTTCATATTTCTCTGCATATCTCAAAAAAAAAAAAAAAGTCTGTGGAGAGTGGTGGAACACATCTGAAAACCACAGCAGCTCTGCAGTGCTTGAGCCTGTAGTGCTAGGTTGAAGGTCAACCTAGGCAGCAAAGCAACAACCTATCTAAAAAATGAAAAATTCACCATGTCATGGTTTATGACAAAGATGACTTGATTCTTTTTGTCCCAAAGATTTAAATTATATTAGGCAGAGTGCACACTTAAATGGAAGTGTTCATTAAGAAATATTTTGTCTTTCACAAGTAATGCAGTTGTAAAATACAAAAAGTTGCAGCAGGTCGTAAGAGTAAAATAGATCCCATTTTCCTTTTGTGTACTCAAAAACCTAATTTTTTAAAAAAAAGCTATTTGGAAAAAGCTATTGGGCCAGGGATTTAGCTCAGTGGTGCTGCTGCTTGCCTTGCAAGCACAAGGTCCTGAGTTCAATTCCCAGTACAAAAAAAAAAAATGTGCTATTTGATGTTTTAACATTTCCATACCATATTAAGGTCCTTTTAGATTGATGGTGTCAAGTTTTACATGTGTAGACAGATTTAACATCGTCATATTTTAGATTTGAATTTCCAGAAAAAATGAGTCAAGACTTTATTCATTTAAAGTGATATTTAAGCTACAAAGGTTTTTACTCCTAACAGACCTTTTAAATAAAACAGCAGAATTACATGTACTTAGCCATGTTCACAATAAATATTTTGAGAGTATTGAAAATGTTGATGTTAAACAAATTTACCAAGTCCCTAATTTATAATAAAAGCTTGAATGTTGTCTTTGAAATTTTATTTTTTATTGTATGCTTTAAGTACATTGAAAGCTGCATTCTGATTTTCTTTTCATTCGCATGTCCACATAAGGACTCAGTTTCAGTGCTTCTCAAGCTGTCTGAAGTGAGGCGTCAGTTTTTACTTTTTAAATTTCCAGTTCTTCAAATCAGTACTTTTACAAAACAAATGAATTACTAGGCAAATGAAATGTAAGGGACTTATAACATTCAAGACCATTTTTAAAATTATTTGTTTTGACAGATGTAAAATAAATGCCAAATTGTTATTGAGAAGTTGTAAACACTAATGAAAATGTTTTGATACTAATCTCTTGATGAACTGGTCCCTAACAGTGGTGAAATGTCTCCGGGTCCTCAATCTACACACTGCCTGGCATGGGCCTCTTAGAAGCCATGCAAAAATGTTTTCACTAAGTGTGACGATTTTACCCCTTGTGGCTGCAAGTTATTTCTGGAGTGTAATTTCTCCTTTATGTAAAATAACCTCACTTTATCCAAACCACATGCATGCCTTCTGAGGAAAAGAGATTAAAGATTGTTTTGCTTTGCATCTTCTGTGCCCAGTAACTCCTTTGATACTTTCCTGTGTATAACACTGAGACAAAGATGGCATGTTGTTTAAAAAATGGCACACAATGCAGTGTTTACAGACTTGTATTTGCAAGCAGCAGTCGAGATGTGGAAATACAATTAAGTACTTAAGGATAGTAGTGTTTTGAGAGAAGGTGTTTAAAAAATATGATCAGTTGCAATCTAAGGAAACTGAATCAGTCAAACCAAATAACAACCAGAATAATACCATCAGTCTTCTTTGCAAACATTCATCCAGATGCTAAAATATATTATCAGGATACTTATCTCGATAAAGAAAATACATTCTTTCTTTGCTCTTGGTGCCTCAGATCTACTGTTGAAGAAAAGAAAGTTTGCATCGAGAAGGTTATAAAGCACTTTGTTCATCAGTGTTAGTTTCTGCTCATCAATAAAAAGTGTTATTTGAACATTAACATTATGATAAAGAAATATCATTGAAGAAGAAGATATTTATAACTTACTGCCTCAGCCCCTTGCTCACGAGAGGCAAGTCATCTTTTTATTTCTGCCTAGACATGAAACACACTAAAGGAAACTTCATTGTTTAGCTTCCATATCCTCCCTTATATTTTATCTTTTGCAGTGTTAGGAATCAAATGCAGGACCACCCACATGCTGAGCAAGCGCTGTACCACCGAGCTATACGTGACTTTTGCACAGCAATGTTGAATGTTTGTTCCCTAATGTTATAAGACAGCATTATAAAAATACTTATGAAGGGAGAAGAAGTCATTTGTTTCTCTGCCAGTCTCATCTGTAGTTAATTAAAAACCTGTCAGTTATCTGCTAGAATTTATTTTTTGTTCATACAACTGAAAATTATTGCTTGTTAGGAAAGAAATATATTATGGTAAAAAGCAAATGGTAGGTTTTTGTGACTATTGTTACTGTTTTTGCGTTATTATTGTTTGTTTTTTTGGTAACAGGGATCAAAGTTAGGACCTTTTGGTTTCGAGGCACGCAGCAGCACCACTGAGCTAAATCCCCAACACTTTGCATTATTATTGTCAAAAATATTTACTTTTTTAAGATCTTATTTTTTGATTAGTTTTACTTTTAATGAAAGTTTTCTCTCTTTTTTTTTGGGGGGGGTACCAGGGATCTAACTCAGGACCTTGTGCTTGCAAGGCAGGCAGTGGAACCACTGAGCTAAGTCCCCTGCCCCCTTAATGAAAGTTTTTATCAATATTTGCATGTGCTAACAAATCAGTACTGGGATTGAAAAGCAAGAATCTATCCATCCCTAGAAACATCTTTTAAATGTTTCTTGCTTAGTTCTTTGCTTTTTCTTCCAGGATTACTACCAGTCATGGAGGTAACTCTAGATATTTTGCATACAATCTGTTTCCAAATTTATCACTTTTAGATAATATATCACTCTTCTAACACAATATTTGATATCTATATTTTAGTTCATATTGTAGTTTGTATGGATTTTTGGTTTATTCACCTGGTTTCTGTTATGAATTTGAGGCTGAGATTGTTCCCTTAGAAGGGCATTAGTCAGTTATCTTCTAGTGGTCAGTGTGGAAGTGGCAAGTTAATTCTCATTTCACTGTACATCACTATGACCCTCCAGGAGTTTCCAGAATATTCCATGTATCTTTCAGTGTTTGCAACACAAGATGGTATGACTAGATCTCAATCTTTCTTTTGTTAACTGGGCTGTCTACACTCTGTTTCTTTCCATCTGAAGACAGATCTTTTTCAGCTCTGGAAAGTTTTCTTCTGTTGTTTCTTTGGTCATTTTCTATTTTCTCTGCGTCTCTGTGTGGAACTTACATTGGTTCCAGGCTGCATTTCAGCAATAGTTACCTCATTGATGCCAGGAATTTTGCCCCTTTAGATGTCACTAGGGGGTTTGAGTGCCCAAACAAAGCTTGCCTTTGAGAATTTGAATCCATTCCTGTATTTTATATTGCCTGAGGATCAGGAATACTCATGTTCTTTTTAAAAAATGAAACCCAGAAGGAACCTACTAAAAAATAAACAATTTATAGAATTTCTTATTTATGCTGGTCTTTTACTTGCTGGCTTTTATTATTACTCACTGCTTGTGTTATACTTAGTAAATAATTTTTAGCTCCTTACCTTTAAATCTTTCTAATAAGGACAAATAGAATGTGTTTATTCCAGCAGCATTAACACACCTGAAACTGAGGCTGATCATCTAAATAATTCAACACGGTCTGTAAAGGCCAAATATTCTGGGCATCACTTAGTGTTTCATTGCAAGCAATAAAAACCAGTTGTGCCTTTTAAAAAAACTTATTGGCAGAAGTAAGGGAAGACATAAACAACCGGTTCCCCAGGAGGCCAGGTGCCAGGATAGCTCCTCATTTCTAAGGTAGGGCGAGTAGGCTCCTTTTGGAGTGCTGATATTGGAAAGGCTTCCCTGGTACTTTGTCATTGATTCTGACATTCTGCTTAAAGATGCAGGTGTCAAAGAGGAAGGCTGTTGGTTTAGTGTGGCTCACATATCCACGTATGGGGTAGAGATGGGATCTCAGTGGACAGTGTTATGAGGACGGGTATTCCCAAGAGAAAACTGTATTGTCATCAACCGTCAGACAAAAACTGCTTAGGTCCTCTGTGTTCTGTCCTGTTGAGCAGTGCTCTGTTCTCACTCTCCTGTTCTCTTCTTCTCCTAGTGCTGCCTCCTGTACTCGTGCCCAGACACAGCGAATATAACCCCCAGCTCAGCCTCCTGGCCAAGTTCCGCAGCGCCTCCCTCCACAGCGAGCCACTCATGCCTCACAATGCCACTTACCCCGACTCCTTTCAGCAGCCTCCGTGTCCTGCGCTCCCTCTCTCGCCTGGCCACATGTTCTCTCAGTCCCAGTGCTCAGCCAGCTACCCCCACTCCCCAGGAAGCCCTTCCCAGCCAGAGAGTCCCTATCAACACTCAGGTCAGTAAGAGCCGCGGTCTATGGGAAAATCAAACCGAAAGTAATGGCTTACGGTCAACCATCATAAATATAAGTGTTATAACTAGCATTCGCATAGTGCTTTGTGGTCCCTGACAAGGCAGTCAGTCTCCTGCCAGTTTGGATCTCACCCACCCTCTGCCAGTATCAGGACCACACCCATTCGGGAACAGCTCCGCGGCTGCAACATGTTTCTGCTCTGGTTTCTGGATCTAATCCTCCGGAAGCACTGAAAAACTAAATATATTTGAACACTGGACAGTTCTGAAGATATTCTTTTTGGCCATAGACATAAGGTTAAAATGTCTCCCTAACCCAAGCAGAAAGACTTGGGCTGAGGGCAGCCAACATGGAGGATTAGGGTGAAACCTTCTCTTTCAACAATTGAAAGGAGACCCTGCTGCTAAAGATGCCTGCACAGTGCTTGTGGGGCAGAGCGAGGCTCCCTCCAGCCGATGCTTTCTCACTTTTTGCTTTGTGAAGTCAGGACAGCAGCTCGCTGGAGTGCCCTCTGGTAACTATTTGCTGAGTTGAAGGTAGATATGAAAGAAAAAGGGAGAATCTACCGCCTCACCATAATTGCATGTGCTGTCACTCTGCGAAGTGGGACAGAGTTGAGATTCCAGGAATAGATTTATATGCACCTCATAAGTGTGAGATAAACAGTATCTGAGCCAACAAGTTTCTAAAGGCAAGCATTTAGTATTCTCTCAGCCTATGCTTAGTACGAGCTGCTACAATCGGCATCATTCATTTATTCAGGAATTCATTTATCTAACAGATATATGTGAAATTCTTATTCTGTGCAAACCTTGCCTTAAGTTGCTAAAGAAGGAATTAAAAGATCATCCAGAAGTTCTCAAAGAACTTACAAAATGTGGGAAGATAAATGCCTGTAATCTCAGCACTTTGGGGCAGGAGGGTGAAAAGTTCAAACCTACCCTGGACAACTCAGCAACTTAGTGAGACCTTATCTCAAAATAAAAATTTAAAAAGGGCTGGGGATGTAGCTGCTGCAAAGGCACTGGGGTCAATCCCCAAGTACTGTTTAAAAAAATGAGGGTGGTGGGGAGTTGCCTCTTCCCTTCTGAGTTAGTTTTTCTTTTTGCCTCCTTGGCAGTTTATTCTCATATCTACATTTTTTTTTTGGTACCAGGGATTGAATTTGGGACCCTCTGCTTCAGCAGCAGGCAGCAGAACCACTGAGCAAAATCCCCAGCCCTCTCATATCTACTTTTACATTTGTTACATTATGTTATATAATCCCTTCCCTTTTCTATATCCAGCACTGAGCTGAAATGCAGTGATTGCTCATTTCATTTGCTTCTTGAATAAATTACTACCTGAGTGTTTAGAACATGGTATTAGAGCTCAGAAGTAGAGATTTAGATTTGATTGATTCAGTAAGTAGTGACTGTCCACCTGTGAAATGTCCAGCACTAGGCCAATGCTAAAAGCGCAATGAAGATTAAAACCATAGTCCCTGACCATCAAGAGGCACTGACTATGGGGGAAAATCATGTAAATAAGTCACCACATGCGTTAGAGGCTGTAGTCATACAGCAAGTGATTATAAGGACTTGAACTAAAGCAAGTATGCGGCAACAGAAGGAGGCAATGAGTTGGAGGAGGTACCATCGAAGGTTATTTGAGGACAGAGCCATGGTTAAGGACAGAATAATTACGTCACAAAATGCATGTGTACGTAACACACATGTATGCTATAAAGATTTCCTTGACTGGCTGTATTCTGGCCTTGGTCAAACTGACAGGTGAATATTGTCTTTCCTCTTCCCATCTGAGAAGCACAGACCCAGCAATGTGCAGAATGTGGTTAGTTTCTCATAGATGTCATGGCCCTTTGCCTTTCAAAGAAAATAATTCCTTTCTGAATGATTAACAGCAAGATGCCAATCTCAATGATAGATTCATAGGTAAATAAGAGTAAAGGAACTTTTGAGAAAAATTGGCTCAGTTTCTATTTTTTAACAGTTTTTATCCAGGTATAATTCACATGCCATATGATTCACTCACTTCAAGGGTACAATGAAATTATTTTAAAATATTAATGTTCTCAATTGTGGTAAAATGTATCTGTCATAAAATTTGTCATGCTAACCATTTTTAAAAGTACAGTTCAGTGGCATTAAGTACATTCACAAGGTTGTATAATCATCATCATTATTTGCAAAATTGATTTACTGCTATAAGTAGAAACTGTAAGAATTAACCACCACCCCCCATTTTCTACCATACTCAGTCCCTGTTAACCTCTTATCTACTTTCTGTTTCTATGGATTTACCCCATGTGAGTAGATGCATGTACTATCTGCAGATATGTGTCTGGCTTCCTTCATTTAGCAAAGTGTTTTCACAGGTCACCTGTGTTGTAGCACAGTATTAGTACTTGGTATTTGTAACTAAACAATCCTTTGTATAGATATACCACATTAAAAGTCCTATTCATTGGTTATTGGATATTTGGGTTGTTTCCACCTTTTGGATATCGTGAATAAGGATGTTATAATCTTAGCAAGCAAGTATCTGCTCGAGTCTCTACTTTAAATTCTTTGGGGTATGTACATAAGAGTAGACCAGCTGTGTTTCATGAAAATTCTATGTTAAACCCCTTAATTTTCTAGATAGAATTACTCAGGGACCTGCAAAAGTACCATCTTAATATTTTCTACTAGGATCACAGTCCATTTTATCTCACAAAAAATGCCTTATCCATGGCTTCCTTGAATTCTAACTCCTGTGATAAGATTGCCATAGGACCTGTTACAACATAGATGGCTATGTCCAATCCCTGATCTACTGAGTTAGAATTTCTGGCTATGCACCAGTAATCTGCATTTTCAGCCAGCTCCACCTGCAATCTTTGTGCATACCTCATCTGATACTGCTTGTGTAGACAATTGAATAAAGGCATTTTGGTCTGAACTTTTCTGTGATTGAATTCTGCCACTGGTACTATAACAAGATACTTCTGAAGTAACATGAGGAATGGAAATTGAAGGAATTAGTTATTCTGCTGCCCTCCCAGAAGTTTTTCTTCTGATTTAGAGTTTTTGTTGTGTTATGAATTACTTTCAAATAAAATATCATTTACCATTTGGCCAGCCATGATCACAGGTTATATAGGATATAACCATGAATTACAGGACCAATATTTGGGAAGAAATATGCTTTGCATACAATTTTAGAGCCAGGCTTCATCTGTTCTGTTTTGGGAGTGTATTGTGAAGTATCTCAGGTACAGATCATCCTTGTGATCATTGTACAATCTATGACAAGCTGAGAGCTAAAAATTAAGCTTATTTCAAGGAGGATCCAGCTTTCTCTGTGATGTGTAAGCCCGATAAGACTATTCAGTTGAGAAAAATGCAGTGAACAGCTCCTAGACTTGAAAATCTTTTCGTAAAGTCATTTGAACTCAATGTTAACTAAAAAGTTAGAGGAAAAATAAATCAACCCCTCACTGCGGATCTCAGCACAAGTTACTCTGATAGGGAACTCACAATATTACTCAGAAGAGTTTTGTTATATTAATTAGTATGTTTTCTCTTTAGCAGAAAACAGCCCAGAAGCTTAACAGCAAAAAATAGTCAGGACCAACTGTCTTTGCATAGTTTATCAGTTTGACAATTCCTCTACCCCCGCCTTATCAAAATAAAACAAAAATGTGCCAGCCGGCTATTTTATATGTGTTTTGACAGGCAGATAGCATGGCTTTGCATTTTAACTTTGGAATTCCTCAATACCAGAGAATGAATGTTTTTATTATGCTTGATACTAGAATAAGTTAATTTTTTATTTTAACCTGGTATTTAGAAGTTTTTAGGGTTTTCGTTGTTGTTGTTGTTGTTGATGGTGGTGGTGGTGGAGCTTTTTGTTTTTGTTTTTTTGAGACAATATCTCAATACAAGTCTGGGCTGGCCTGAACTCCTACACTCAAGTCATGTGTCTATCTCAGCTTCCCAAATAGCTAGGACTATGTGCAGACTACCATGCCAGACTTAAAAGTTTATATTTAGTGTTTCTGATTTTGCTTTTGACATGCCCAAACTATTATTTTTTACCTTTAGTTTGTTCTAAAATTATCTTTTTTTTAGCCCAGAGATTCAGTTTGGCATAGTAAGACGTTTTCTTTCCTGTATAAAGATGAGGTGATGTATCCCCTTCCTTTTAGCTGTGTTTACTTTATTTTGATGAGTTCTTTTTTCCATCGATCTATTCATGTTGTCTTCTCCCTGGTCCTCTCAGTACTAATACCTGTACTCACAAATGCTTTAAGCATGGAAGATTCATGTGGACTGTGACCTGTACACTACAGGTGTGCTAACCAGATGAGCTAACCCCAAACAGCTTCCGTTAAAGAGTCAGGTTTAGAGGACTGCAAAGCAGCAGGCAGTTTTCTGGTTTAAAGCGTTTATCTTTGTTTCCTGGTGCAGTCTGGAGTGAGTTGTGAAGCCCAGGTATGACAGTAACAATGTGCTGTCTGACTCACCGTCTTTGTCTTTCAGACTTCCGGCCAGTTTGTTACGAGGAGCCCCAGCACTGGTGCTCGGTTGCCTACTATGAACTGAACAACCGAGTTGGGGAGACGTTCCAGGCTTCCTCCCGAAGCGTGCTCGTAGATGGATTCACTGATCCTTCAAATAACAGAAACAGGTTCTGCCTAGGACTTCTTTCAAATGTAAACAGAAACTCAACCATAGAAAATACTAGAAGACACATAGGAAAGGGTAAGAGCCTGTATGTCAGGCCTTGGTGTTGTTTTCTGAGCTCAGGTGTGGAAACAGAAGCCAGCCATGAAGTGACAGTGTAGCTTTGTGGAGGGACCCTAAGGCTGGCATCACCATCGGGCCAGGTCAGGGACTTTCAGGGTCCCTGTCTTTCCTCTTCTTCAGTGGTGCTGTGGGGTGGGTGTTGTGAAGACAAGACAGATGATGAATATGAAAGCGAGATTATCTGTTGGGAGTGTTGTGTATTATTTTTTGAACTACCTAGAGCCGCTAATTAGGATGGCTTCGGAAGAAGAGAAATTCTGACTGAACAATTATTGATACCAAGCAAAGTCATGTTTAGAGCTGTAGAAGCTAGGGATTTAAAATTAATGATGGACTTGACATTTGGAAGTGTTTGGTAGGTGACTGGGCTATGTGTGTCCAGGCAGCGCTGTGACAGCTGAGTAGGCAGAGGCCACTTGCCTCTGACTGAGGAAGCCTTGGAAGCCCGTCTCCTATCTGTCAGCAATGGTAGCCTGTCCCAGAAGAGCCTGAGGCTGGGTTCAGGATCTCAGATACTTTCTCTTCTGTTAGAATTGTTGCTGTCTCTACTTGATACTACTCAGGAATCAGAGAGGAAACGTACCATTAGGGTCATTTGATCGTTTCTCTCCCCATCCAGCATGATAGCCTGAAGCCTCTTCTTTCAGATTTCTAGGGGATATAAGTAGCCTTCCTAACATACTTTCTAAATGTCCCCTGCTATAGTATGCCTACATAACACTGATTAGAAACATATTGAACTTACTGATGCTGACTTTGTGTGTGTGTGTGTGTGTATGTGTATGTGTGTGTTTTGCAGGGGAGTGAACCCAGGGCTATCACACTGAGCTACCTTCCTAGCCCTTATTTGTAGAGTCTCACTAAGTTGCCCAGGCTGGGTTTGAACTTGGAATCCTCCAGCCTTAACTTCCTGAAGTGTTGGAATTATGAGAATTCATAAGCCCCAATGTTGACTCTTAATACAGTTTTTTTATTAAGTTTATTTACATTCCGTCTGTTCCATAGTGGCGCTGAGACAGTTTATGAGGAAATGAAATGATAAATGAAAAACAGAAAGTAAGAAGCCATGAGTGGGAGGAAGAGAGAACACATACACAGTTCACCCTCGTGTTTGTGGGTTCCACATTGCCGATTCAACCAACCTAAGGCAGAAAAAAATTGTTATCTGTACTGAGCATATACAGACTTTTTCTTCTTATTATCTAAACAATACAGTATAACAACTATTTACATATAATTTATATTGTATTAGGTATTGAAAGTCATCTAGAGATGAGTTAAAGGACATGGAAAGACGTAGGTAAGTTTGGTGTAAATCCTGCTCCAGTGTGTAGGAAAGACTTGAGCATCTGCAGAATTTGGTGTCCACAGCAGGTCCTGGACCCCATCTTCCATGGGTACCAAGAGATGGCTGTATATCATTAGGATTGGCATCATGATTGTGTGATTCTTAACTAGGTTTCTGTGAGGACAGAAAGGGGAAACTCAATCTGTAATGTAATTTTTATCCCAAGCAAGGAACCATTACCATTGTTGAATAGAAATAATATTTTGATTGATTTCTTAAGCAAAATTTTCAGGTATGGCTTTTATTTTAAATGATTTTTTGTAAAGATCTTAGGTGAAATCTAAAGACAAATGTTAACACATAACATTGTGGGCCTGTGTGCTGAGGGCTTTGCAGATTGGTTTACATGGAAGACATCTGTCAGTACCAGGGGATTCCAAAGATGGAATGAAAATGTTATACGAGTATTGAGACCCCTGGCAGGCTTTTTCCAAGTAGCTTGCTCCAAGTGCTGCTGCTGAAGACAAGGAGAATAGATGTGCTGTGTGCTCACTAAGAACTAATCCACATGTTTAAGAAACCATGTGAGCAAGAGCCAGTCTGATGACATCTTCCAGAAGCCAGGATACCTAATCCAGGGCTCTCCTGCTTGGACAGGCACTCCACTATCATGTGGTCCCTAAGGAAAAGTCACAGAAAGATTCCAAGAAATCTACTTAGGCCTTACTCTAATATGAAAATACATATGAATCTTTCTATCTCTCGTCTGTCTGTCTCTTAGTCTATCAAAGAGAGAGAGAAGGAAGGAGGGCAGGAGGGAGGGAGAGAGAAAGAGAACAAGGTATGCCACAAAATAGAAAAAGTGTTGGCTTGGAATATTTTAGAATGTAGTGGGTTGGTCTCCTATGGGATCACAGGCCTATTTCTTGGGAGTTTCTGGGGATTACCTGCCCCTGAACAGCATGGTTTAGGGACCACATGAGAAATCAGCCTAAGTGCAGTACAAAGTGCAATCTAAAGTGAACTTTCTCCATGGAGTTAATTAATGGAGACACATTTTTAAAGTTTGCATTTATCTCACTGATATTTACTGAACACCCTTTCTCATCCAAACTGGACATGAGGAATAAGGCAGTGAAGACAAGACAGAAGCTCCTGCTTTCTTAGATCACGTGCAGATAGGGAAATCAGACAAGAAGTCATCTGTATAGTAAGTGAAATAGAGCTGGGCAAGTTTATTAGCTTTCCTGTCCCTGGGACAAAATACCCAACACCCACAATTTATGGGAGGAAGGGTTTATCTGATTCACAGTTCCCAGTGGGATCAGTCCAGAGCTAGCTGGCTCCAAGGCAGAAACAGCACGGTGGACAGGCCTGGTGTAGGAAAGCTGCTCGTCCCATGACAGCAGGGAAGCAGAGGAGAAGGGAGGAGCCGGAAGAAGAGTTACCCTTTGCAACCAGGCCCCACCTCATAATAGCGCATTCAGTTGTTGAACTCGGCAATGAATGCATCCACTGATGAATAAAGCACCCCCGTGATCCAGTCTCCTTTCAGACATACAATACTTTGGGGAACATTTTAGATCTAAACCCTGCCAGGAAGACAACAGGAAATGGGCCTGCTCTACTTTAGACTAGGGTAGGCAGGGAAGGCTTCCTCAGAAGGTGACATTTGAGTTGAATACAGTGGCGCATGCCTGTAATCCCCGCAATCTGGGAAGCTGAGGCGGGAGGAACACGAGTTTGAGCCAAGCCTCAAACTTAGCAAGAACCTGTCTCAAAGTTTAAAAAAGGGGCTGGGATGTAGCTCAGAGGCAGAGCATTTGTGTGAGAAAAGCGAAGAAGTAATATCAGAGCAGCGAGCTATAGAGAATTAGCAACCAGGATATTTGAAGGGAAAGCTTTCCAACAAAGAAAACTGCAAGTGCAAAGGCTCTGAGTCCACCTAGCCTATTGTGTGAACAGCCAGGATCCAGTGTGTGGTGCAGAGAGGTCAGGACCAGGTCACTGGGGCCCTGAGCTTATGTTAAGGCTTTGGCTTTGATTTGTGAATGGGAAGATAGATTTAGGCTGAGGCATTCATATGATCTGAATTTACACTCTTGAAAGATTTCCTGGCTGCTATACTGAGATTCAAGTGTAGTTGGGATGAGATAGGTAAGATTATCTGAAAAAAAATTTTATTATAGTTAGTATAATTGTGTAATAGTACAATTAGTATAGTTGTCTCCCCTGACAAATTATCCAGGTAGATTTGTTTTGGTTTGGGTTCTGTAGTATTTAGAAGCAGCCAAGTTGACTAGTCCTCTGAAAGGAGTTTCACGCTGTCAACTGTCAGCTGTGCCTAAACTCTAAGTTGTTCTTTCTCTAGGGGTGAGGGGTTGTGCTAGTTCACCCACACTTTTGTACCCCGCTTCCTACCTCATGAGGCACACTTGAGGCTGTAGGACTTCTCCAAGCAATGTATTTGTAGCCACACACTAGTTAACTGGGGCACAGGGAATGGAACCCATTACTCTTACCACACTTGCAAAACACTTTAAATAGCTACTAATGAGTTAGCATTACATGCCAAGGGCCCCCACTTACGTATCAGAGGCAATACCACCACTGGAATACTGAATTATATGGCATCCATCCACATTCTTCCTTGAAAACTGAGCAAACCAGTGGAGCTCTTTTCGGGGATATGCAGACTAATAAAAACAATGATAATAATGGTGATAGCTACTTCTGTTGATTACTGGTATGTGTGAGACATCCTGACATGCACTTAGACATAGTATTTCTAATTCTTACAGTGGCTGTACAAGTAAGACTTCATTAGTCCCATCATACAGATGAGACACATGAAAATCAGAGATGTCAGCAGGTTACACAAGGCCACACAGTCATTCCAGAGGCGCCCACTTGTGACTCAGCTGCCCCCTCTGCTGGAGAGAAGAGATCCTCCGGTCTTTTTGTCTTGGTGCACTTCCTGGTGCTTTGCTTACAGAACCAAGTCTTGCAGCTAAGAATGAAAGCACCCTCACATGCCTCAGCAGTGGTGTGTTCTAGCCAACTCTATGATGTTTAAAGAAGTCCTTACTTATACAGTGCTGAAATTTTATGACAGTTTGCTCTTTTTTTCAGTACCAGGTAGAACCCAGGGCCTTCACGCTGTGCTACATCCCTAGCCCTTAAACTTTCAAAAAAATTTCTGAATATATATATATATATATTTCTTGATAAGTTGCTAAATTGTCCAAGTTGGGCTCAAACTTGTCATCCTCCTGCCTCAGCCTCTCAGAATACTGGAATTATGGTTTTCTTTTAAAGTGTATGTAAGAGATTTTTGTTTTCCTTACAAAAAATATGCTGGAAAGGAAATCTGCACTCATAATTAGATCAGCAAGGACCTTTGTGGAAGCATTAGAAGGTTTTTTGCAGAAGTAGACAAAGAACTACTGACATATAATACTGATGTGTGACTAAGCAAAACAGAACCAGGGTGGCTTCCTGATGATTTGGGAATGATGTGATAACCAACTTAGATGATTGGAGGATAATACTTGCCTGCCTTTTTAAAGTGGCTCTTAAGATGGTCTCAGTTTCCAAATAATTTAATAAACCATAACTTCCAATTGACTGCAACAGCCCTGCCCCTGAGGTGGGATGGTATTTCTTA